TTCAGCACCATTTGCAACACCTAGGTACTGAAGCTGTTTCTCTACACAATCAGCCAAACTTGATAACCATCCAGATTTGGTCAGATAAGTGGCATGTAACATTTACATCACACAAGTGCCAGGTAATGAATATCTCCAACAGGACAGCATCTAACCATCACCCCCTGGTGTTCAATAACTTCACCACCATCAACAGTCTGGGGTTTACCATTGATCAGAAATTGAAAATTGACTATCTAAACACTGTGGCCACTAGAGGAGGTCAGAGATTAGAAATACTGTGGATAGTAAATCACTTTCTGTCTCTCTAACGCGTATCCATCATCTGCATGGTACAAGTCACTTGCCTGGATGACTGCAGCTCTAACAACATTCAAGAAGGTTGAAATCACCCAAGTGCTACCTTAAACTCTGCTTCATAACAGAAAAGGCAAGAAAAGTTTTATTATTTACCTTTGCTCTTTGATTCTTTTTAAGTAATCAATATTCACTTTGGAGTAGTTAGTTTCTTTATTGTTGTGGCAAGTTTTACCCTTCTGAAATTTGCTCACCAATCCCCTAACTCAAAGAAAAATTGAAATATCCTCCACTTCATCCCCAGAAACAGATCCACAGTCACTGGTCACCATCAGTGTCTCATTAGCTCTTGAACTGCACAATATTTGTCTCCAGAAAAAAGGGCATCACAGCCAAAACTGATGTCCTCACATTCAGCATCCACACTTTATGCAAAAGTTACCGGAACAGAAGATGCTGCTGATAAGCTTTCTGGGAGGAATTATCTCAGTCACTGTGACCAAGGAGGGGAGCTCAGAAGACTGGTGTCAGCAAACAGTGCAAATGCATCCAACAGAGGGCCTGCTCAGAAGGATTCTGGGAAGAGTTGAAACCAGCCTCGGAAGCCACGGTAAATTGAGGCAAGAGTGAGGCCATGTTGCTTAGGAACTCAGACGACCAATCCTTCATTCTGTTCACTAAAAGGACAGATTGCTTGAAGGTGCTAGGAATATGGCTTGGAGGAGCTGGGGCATACACAAAATCCTTGGAGGAGCACATTGCCAAAGTAAAGCAGAAACTAGTCTTTTGAGAGCACCACTCTCTCTCCATTGCAGGTAAAAACCTGGTCATCAAATGTGAGGCACTCTCTCCTATTGCTGTATGTGGCGCAGGTCTGGCCATTCCCTGAAACTGCGCTGTTTCAGTCACCTGAGCCATCTTCTGGCCTAAGATAGACCAAGTCTGCAGGAATTCCATGCACAAAACTCTGGATTGGGGGGGGGGGGGGAAAAATACCCCAAAATGCTCTCAGCTTGATAGCCACCTTTGTCAAGCTGTGCATAGACCTTTGGTACACAAACGCTAAGTGTCACTATGTTCTAGCTGTCGAGGGTGTTGCGAAGGATGGGAATGGCCTCACTGCCACTGAATGCTCCAAGTAGTTGGACCATCCCTATCACCTGTCGTTCATCGAGAAATTTGCAAAGAGAAACACCTTTGACACCAGTCCATCAGGAAGTGGTCAGCACACAGTATTCTCAGGACCCTGAGGGAAAAGGAGAGAGTGGACTCTGTTGCGTGTTTCCCTGAATAGAGAGTCAAAGTCATTTGGCAGAATGCTTCATCACCAGAACTTTCAAACTAGCACCAAGACATCGCTTAGCTGGTGATGAAAAGAGCACTACCTGTGAGATCCTTTATGGATGCCTGGTCAGTCTGTGCCACTGCATGCTGCCCTTGAAGTGTCTGCAGGTGGGGGTGAGACTGTCGTACACCTCCTTCTGGAATATGCCTTTGCAAAGGAAGTCTGGAGAAAGATGCAGTGGTTTGTTTCAAGGTTCGTCCTGAGCAGTTCCATGACATGGGGCTCTGTGCTCTATGGTCTGTTTCCCGGGACACACACCACAGCAAATATCAATGTGCCTGGAGGACCATCAACTCAGTGAAAGACATCTTCGGTCTGCCTGAAATTGTTGTTCGTCCTCCAGAACAAGGATATGGCCCCAACTGAGTGTTGCAGACTGGCACATTCCAAGGTCCAGGACTACATGCTGAGGGATGCACCAAATCTTGGGGCAGCTGCTGCCAAGATGCAGTGGGGAAGTACCATTGTCTGAGGTCTTCCTGCTGAAAGTAAATGGGGGTCCGTTCAGTTATTGGAGCCTCCTAGTGCCTCAGATATATATAAATATTAGTATTGTATGTGTAAGAGAGGTCTTTGGTTTTTTGGATAGAGTCAAATTCCAGCGTTTTGTTTATTTACTTGATATGCCAATGTACAGATCCAAATTGCTTTTGTGGCAATGTACATGTTAAAAGAGATTTTTTATGAATGAAATATATTTTTGAAATAAAACAAAGAATTGTCTCAGTCACTGCCCAGGAGCAAATAGGAGAAAGGCAAGCTATAGCAAAGTGGCCATTTTTGAGAAGAGCCGCTTTGTGGTGGAGGTTAAGGTGTAGGCTTCAGTGAATAACAGGCTTTGGTGAGAGGGCGATCAGCAGCAAGATAAGGCAGTCGGAAGAGGAACAAACTACTGCACCTGTTGAAGGCACAAGGGTAAAGGTGAAGTAGAAGGAAGTTTAACTGTGAAGTCACAGGCAACAGGTAAGTGAGTGGCTGGCGACTGGTGAGTAGTTTTTCTTCTCTCTTTTTTTCTTCACTTTGCTACTGTCGTTGTTAACTTAAGGCTTAAGTCATGGCAGAAGATCCCAGACCTATGTCATGCTCCTTCTGTGCGTTGTGGGAATTCAGGGACTTTTCCGATGTCCCTAATTCCTTCACATGCAGGAAATGTGTCCAGCTGCAGCTCCTGTCAGACCGCTTGACAGCTCTGGAGATACGGCTGGATTCACTTTGCAGCATCTGTGAGGCTGATGGAATCATGGTTAGCATGTTCAGTAAACTGTTTACATGACAGATAAAAATTACTGAGGAAGATAGGGAATGGGTGACCGTGGAAGAGTAGTAAGGTAGTGTAGGGGTCCCCTGTGGTCATCTCCCTCAAAAACAGATAAAACGTTTTGGATACTGTTGGGGGAGGTGGCTCACCAGAGGAAGGCAGCAACAGGCAGGTTCATGGAACCATGGCCGGCTCTGCTACACAGGAAGGATCAAACCAGTTGGATCTATCTTCACTAAGGAGGACACATACAACCTTCAGGAAATATATGGAACAGAGGGTCAAACATCAAGCAGGAACTGAAGGAAATCCTTATTAGTCAGGAAATGGTATTGGGGATGGGATTAAAACCCAATAAGTCCCCATGGCCTAATGATCTGCATCCCAGAGTACTTAAGAAAGTGGCCCTAGAAATAGCAGACGTATTGGTGTTCATTTTCCAACATTCTGTAGTCTCTGGAAGAGTAGCAATGGACTGGAGGGTAGATAATGTAACCTCATTGTTTGAAAAAGGAGGGAGAGAGAAAATGGGGAATTATAGGCCAGTTAGCCTAACATGAGTGGTGGGGAAAATGTTGCAGTCAATTATTAAGGATGTAACAACTGAGCCTTTAGAAAGCGGTGACAGAATCCGTCCTAATCAGCATGGATTTGCTAAAGGGAAATCATGCTTGACAATTTTTTAAGAATTTTTTGAAGATGTGACCAGTAGTGTGGACTAGGGTGAATCAGTAAATGCTGTGTATCTGGACTTACAAAAGGCATAGTAAGGAAACTTAGAGTTCATGGTATTGGAGATCATGTATTGACATGGACAGAGAGCTGGTTGGCAGGCAGGAAGCAGAGAGTTGGAATAAACGAGTCCTTTTGAGAGTGACAGGCAGTGATGAGTGACATGCCGCAGGGGTCAGTACTGGGACCCAATATCTCCAAATTTGCAGATGACACTAAGGTGGGTGGCAGTGCGCTGTGAGGAGGATGCTAAGAGGCTGTAGGGCGACTTGGACAGACTGGCTGAGTGGGCAAATACTTGGCAAATGCAATATAATGTGGATAAAGGTGATGTTATTGACTTTGTGCCTTCCTGCTTTTATGACTATTATTATCATTTGAATGGTGGCAGTTTAAGAAAATGTGAAGGTGCAACGAGATCTGGGTGTCACGGTGGAACAGTTGCTGAAGGTTGGCATGTTGGTGCAGCAGGCAGTCAGGAAAGCTAATGGCATGCTGGCATTTATAGCAAGTATTGGAGTAAGGATGTCTTGCTGCAGTTATACAGGGCCCTGGTGAGGCCATACCTTGATTATTGTGTGCAGTTTTGGTCTCCTTGTCTAAGGAAGGACGTTCTTGCTATTAGGGAGTCCAGTGAAAGTTCACCAGACTGATTCCCAGGTGGCAGGACTAACATATTAGGAAAGCCTGAATCGACTGGGCTTGTATTCACTGGAAGTTAGAAGGATGAGGGGGCCATCACAGAAACATATAAAATCCTGATGGGACTGGACAGGCTAGATGCAGGAAGAATGTTCCCGATGTTGGGGAAGTCCAGAACTAGGGATCACAGTGTAATAAGGGGTAAGCCATTCAGGACTGAGATGAGGCAGAATTTCTTCACTTAGAGAGTTGTGAAACTGTGGAATTCTCTCTCCGACAGGAAGCTGTCGGAGCCAGTTCATCTGATATATTCAAGGGGGAGCTGGACATGGCCCTTGCGGCTAAACAGATCAAGGCATATGGACAGAAAGCAGGAATGGAATACTGAAATTGCATGATCACACTGATTGGTGGTGCAGGTTTGAAGGGCTAAATGGTCTACTTCTGCACCTATTTTCTATGCTTCAAGAAAAGTGCCACTTTTATTTCTTCATTACTTGAATTAGGGCTACAGAGGGAATGCATAAACTCTCTGCCATAGTTCTCGCTGAAATTATCTATTTCACATAGATTAGAGGTTAAGTCTGTGATTTTTCTTGTTCTGCATGGTTTAATTACTTATTAACGTTATTGTATTTGTCAACAAGTACTTTATTCGACTTGTAAATTAAGGCACATAAATAGCTATGAATGTACTATGATCTGCTAATAATGAAAGCAACTTACTGTATATTTTATCAATCACATATGGTACATAGACATTCCCATCTTGTGAAGAAGGCCATAAGCAGCTTTTTGGTGTTTTTGAACACACAACAGCATTTCTGGTGGTATCTATGAGAACGTCACCATATTGAATTATTTTACTTCCTGTAAGTTTTGCTGCAAAACAAGAAATACAAAATCTTAAGTAGAAAGTATCTACAATTGATAAATTAATATTAAACATTCAATTTTTCTTAACCATGGCAAAAAATGATAATTAGCTATATCTTCAATTACACCATCTAATTATCAAGCACATCTGACTTTCTAAGCATGTCATCTAAATGTGGCAAACATCAAGCATGTGTTTGACATTTCTCTGAAATGTAAAGATTTTACATGATAGAGCTACTTAGTTTCCAGTTTAAAATCATTGAATCATAAAATGGTTACAGGACAGAAAGACGCCGTTCAGCCCATGTCTATGCTGGTTCTTCATGAAACCAATTCAGTGCCATAAAGCCTGAATTTTATCTTCCTTTTCAGAATCAGGTGGTTATGCTAAAATGGGATTTATCAAGGTAAAGCTGCAAATGAAAAGTTACACATTAACTCCCATTCTTCAGTCTGAACACATGATATGTTTATTCAAATACAATTCACACCACAGTTGGCAGGGCCCTCAGATGAGTCCAGTCCATCTCCCACACTTCAACCCTCATCCCCTCTATACCCTCCCACACCAGCGATAAGACTCCCCCCCCGTCCTCACCTACCATCCCACCAGTATCCACACCTAGAGAATCATTAGCCGTCACCTCCAGCGGGATGCCACTACCTGACATACATTCCCTACCCCTCCCTTGTCAGCTTTCCGCAAGGACCATTCCCTCTGGGCTGCACTTGTCCACTCCTCCTTCACTACCATCAGCACCCCACAGCACTTTCCCCTGCAACCACAGAAGGTGCAACACCCGCCCATTTACTTCCGCCCTCATAAGTACTCAAACACACCTTCCAGGTGAAGCACCACTTTAGCTGTATTTCACTCAATCTATTCTACTGCATTCACTGCTCACATTGTGGTCACCGCTACATTCGGGAAATACCTATATTCTGTCCACAAAAATAACCCTGAGCTTCCATTTACCCATAGCTTCAATACACAACCTGCTCCCTGGCCAACATTTCTGTCTCAGGCTTGCTGCAGTGCTCCAGTGAAGCTCAGCACGAACTGGAAGAACAGCACCTCATTTTCCACTTGGGAACTCTAGAGCTTTCTGGACTCAATATCGAGTTCAACAATTTCAGGGCTTGAGCAATTTCTCCACGCCTTCCCCCAACCCCCACACAGTAGGCCTTGTTATCATATGGTCTGACATTACACAGAACCTGTTGTTAGCCACTAATAGTTGCCATTAGCAGCTATTCATTCTTGTGGCTGACCATTATCCACTCCTTTGTCTAACTGTGTTTCTCTCTCTTTGGGGTCTATCTCCACCCATTCTTTACTCCTTACTCCCCATCTTTTGCATAAAAAAACCTTTTCCTTGTTACTTTCAGTTTCGAAGAAGGGTCACCAGAGCTGAAACGTTAACTCTTATTTCTCTCCACAGATGCTGCCAGACCTGCTGAGTTTTTCCAGCAATTTCTGGTTTTGTCGTTTATGATTCCTGCAATCCTTAGTTAGTAGCTATTTTTCAGTCGACAGCATGGTTGAGGAAACCATGTAAACTGTTAGTTTGTGTCAACTGTGTTGCCAAAGATGTAACCCAATCATTTGCAAATTTTACTCATCAATAAATGTATTGTAATGTAGATGCAGATTTTGGCCTTGCAACGTAAAATCAAATATTCTAAAAGCAAGAGAATTCCTGGCCTATGACTTTCTTTTACAGCCACAGGATTAATGTGACTACTGCAACTAAATTTCTGGTCAAGGGTGACCTTTAAGATGTTAATGGTGGGGTGTTTAGGCATGGTATCGCTACTGAAGACGAACAAGGGCAATGGTTAGATTCTCTATTATTGATAATGGTCAGTGGCTGGCACTTGAGTGCTACCTTCTACTTACCAGCTTAATTCTGATTGTTATTCAAAACATTTTCAATTTGGGCATGGATTGCTACACCAATTGAGCAGTTTTGAATGCTACTGAATTCCATGCACCTACCGGTGACCATCTCCGCTTCTTACCTTAAGGAAGCTTGTTAATAAAATAACTAGTGATGATTGGGGATAGGACACAAATTTCAGTAACTCCTGCAGCTATGTTCTGTGCAGAGAATGCTGGAGAAACTCAGCAGGTCTGACAACATCTGTGGAGAAATATAACATTTGTTGTAGTTAATGTGTTGAGATCAATATGACTTCTTCAGAGCTGAAAGGTATTGGAAATTTATTTTTATACTTTTGACAGCGACGGAGGAGGAGCAATGGGGCAGATTGTATAGAGACCCAGTGGAAAAAAACAAAAGGTGGTAAAAACAATGTTGATGAAAGAGAAAAAGAAAAATTAAATGGGGTAGATAAAGATGTGAATGGGAGAGAATGGGTCCTTTCTACTGAAAGCAAAGTAAAAAAGACATAAACAAGACACGGGAGAGGGTGGGAGAGGCACGAGATAATGTGACAAATGGAGAACAGACCTCATGCAGGAGGCAGGCCTGTGGCGGAACTCAGAAAAGCTCAGCATTGTTGGAGAAGTTGACGGACTTGGTTAAGACCTTTGCCTTAGTAGACACCTGGCGAATTCTCCATCTTGATTCCATTGCCTTCATCTTGTGAAGCCTGGGATTGGAGTGTCCAGAATTGACTGACTCTACATTTCCAGGCATACACCTCCTGTGTTCCAAAGGCCAATGTTGATTTCTTCTGAGTACTGCCACAGTCCCACCTCTTGAGGGCACAACTGAAATCTCCCCCAAGAATGAGTTCGCCCTCACCGATGGAGTTAATAAGAGTATACACTTCCTCAAAGAAGCACGTCTGCTCAAGTCCCATCCAAAACACATTACATTCACGAAGTGAAGCACCATGCCTCCAGAATGAACCATGAATTGGAGCAGACAGCCTGACACATGCTCCTTGATCCTCAAGATCTCAGGCTGAAAAAAAGGGGACAACAAGATAGTTACCCCGCCAGAATTGGAGGCCAGGTGACTCATGAAGACCTGTGCCTGCTGCTGCAGGAGCCACATAGTTTCATCTCCTGAAATGGTATGGGTTTCATGCGGGAAGCTCACCGTGTACTTCCGTTCCCTGAGGAGCAAGGGAATATGAAATCTATCCTGGGCCTTCCCACTGCTGTTGGTGTTGAGACTAGGTATCCTGGTGTGGGAGGAGCTCGTTTCATTCAGCACCAGGGCGAGATCGGCATACTGGCACTTTAACAACTTGCTGCTGGAGGATGAGAGGTTCTGGGACTTATTTAATCATTTCTGGACCAGCTGGAGAAGGATGCAGGGGGGCTTCCCTCTTTGAAGCTATGGTGGGATGTGGACAAGACTCACATCCATGACTTCTGTCAGCAGTACGTGTTCAGTTGATAAAGAGGTGGAAATCCAGGATCAAGAGGATGGAAAGGAGGCGATTGACTTGGAGTCATGTCTCAGTCAGTGCGATTTGGACCTGGCCTTGGAGGAGATGTACAAAGAGAAGGCCACACTCCAGGATCTGCATCTCTGCGGGTCTCAGGGTGCTTATGTGAGATTGTGGGTCCAATTCCTTCAGGATCTCTGCTGCAGCTCCCTCTTCTTCTACTCGCTGGATAAAAGGCATAGGCTCCTTATGCTGCTAGCTGATGATGGTTCGTTCATCTTGGATCTGGAGGGTATCAGGGCCCAAGTGAGGTAGTATTATATGGTTCTCTTCTTTCTAGATACATCCTGTAAAGAAGCTTGCAAAGTTCTGTGGGAGGACCTGCTAGAAGTCAGCCATCATGGTGCCGAGAGGTTTGAGGCTTCTCTGAGTTTGGAGGAGCTGACTGGTGGCCTTGAACGAGTCTCCAGGGGCAAGTCCCTGAGACTGGATGGTCTGACCGTGGAGTTCGTCAGGGCATTCTGGGACATCACAGGGGGCAGCTCTGCGCAGTTCCTGGAGGAATATATCACAATCAGAGAGATGCCCATTTCTTGGTGCAGGACAGTCATCACTCTGCCGATGAAGGGGTTCTCCGTTTGTTAAAGAAACGGCATCCGATCTCCCTCCTCAGCATGAACTACAAAATCTTTGCCAGGGCATTTTCAATTTGCCTCAGCACCATGCTGGATCACACAATCCACCCAGACCAGTTCTACACCATCCTGGGCCGGAGCATCCACAAGAACATCCACCTGGTCCAGATCATGACGCATTATTGCCAGAGGGCTGTCCTGTTGTGTTCCACTCTCTTTCTGGATCAGAAAAAAGCATTCAATAGAGTGGATCACAAGTTGCAAGCTTTTGGGTTCAGGATGCAGGTTATCGCCCGGATCCAACTTTTGTACACTGCCATGGAGTGTCTAATGAAGGTTAATGAGTCCTTGACGGCATCCCTATAATTTGGGAGAGGAGTACGTCAGAGCTGCCCCCATCTGGCCAGCTTTATTCTGTCTGCATGGAGTCACTCTTGAGCCTCTTGCACAAGCAGTTTTTGGGTTTTGCTCTGAGTGGGATAGGGCTGAAGGTGGTTATTTTGGCACATGTCAATGACATGCTCCTCGTTTTCACAGACCCAGCTGGCCTGCAGAGGATGTGCGAGTGCCAAGCGGTCTACTCTGCGGTGTCCTCCACAAGGAACAACTGGAGCAGGTGTTCAGGACAGTGCTTACCTCCTCTACCTGGGATTCCATCTTTACCCTGGTGTAGAGAGTGCTGCACACAGTGGTTCCATGCAACCAGCGACCGAGCAAATTTGCCTGGTGCCAGACCACATGCATGTTCTATAGCCTGAAGGAGACAATCTCCTACTTATATGTTGAGTGCATTCATCTGCAGCTCTTTTTTAGTTTTTTGAAGGGGCTGCTGTTGAAATTTTGATTGTACTTCAGCACCGCACTCCTAATCTCTGGTCATCTAGTGCGGAAAACTTGGATAAGTCTACAAGTCTTCTTGCGGCTTTGCTCCCAGGCCTGGAAAAGATGGCCATTAACAGGTCCAGGCAGCAGGCCGTGGAGGGGCTTGTCGTTCTTGAATGATTGCCCCTCTTTCAGTTACATCCATGATCAGTTTTCCCTGGAGTGGGAGCACACAGTGCTCACTGGTACAGTCAAGGCCTTTCGAGATCAAAAGGCACTGTGGGGTCTGGAGGGCATCATAAACCTGAATAACATTTTGATTTAGTAAAACTTTTTGTTTCTGCAGCATAAGTTTCCATTTCACGTTTTGAGTTGTGTTTGTTTCCAGTTTGGTGCCCAAGGAAACGAACTGTCTTATTTTCCCTTTGTTTCAATTTTTGACCCTCGTAAGGACCATGAGGGCCGTTATTCTATCAAGAAATATTTATTTTGCATTTTGACCCTTGTTGTCCCTACCCCATGAGTGGTTGGTGGGCCAGAGTTGAGGAAAGGCAGTTTTTGTTTGTTTATTTTGTTTTCCTTTTTCCAGAGTCACTGGGGTTTCATTTTGGCTCAAATGTCAGGGAAACTTTTCCTTTCCTGTTTTAAAAGTGTAGAGTGAGTTTTGCATTGGACTTAACTGAGTGCTGTCCTCATCCCAGGAGTGTCTGATGTTGGTTGGGGTGGGGGGTGGACCTTTTATGTTTGAGTGGAGGGTTGATTTTGGAGTGGAGACCTATGACCAGTGGTATACCACAATGACTGGTGCTAGGTCCACTGTTTTTCGCCATTTATATAAATAATTTGGATGTGAATATAGGAGATATGGTTAGTAAGTTTACAGATGACACCAAAATTGATGGTATAGTGGACAGTGAAGGTTATCTCAGCATACAACAGGACCTTGATTAGATGGGTCAATGAGCTTAGGTCTGGCAGCTAGAATATAATTTAGATAAATGTGAGCTGTTGCATTTTGGGAAGGCAAATCAGAACAGAACTGATACAGTTAATGGTAGGGCCCTGGGGAGCATTGCCGAACAAAGAGACATAGAGGTGCAGGCTCGTAGTTCTTTGAAAGTGGAGTCGCTGGTAGATAGGGTGGTGAAGACAACGTGTGGCACAACTGCCTTCATTGGTCAGTGCACTGAGCATAGGAATTGGGATACCATATTACGGCTGTACAGGACATCAGTTAGGCCACTTTTAGGATTCTGCATTCAATTCTGGTCTCCCTGCTAATAGGAAAGATGTAGTTAAACATGAAGGGTTCAGAAAAGACTTACAAGGCAGTTGCTGGAATTGGAGGGTTTGAGCTATATGGAGAGGCTGAATAGGCTGGGCTTTTCTCCTTGGAGTATTGGAGGCCGAGGGGTGACCTTATAGAGGCTTTTAAAATCATGAGGGGCATGGATAGGTGAATAACTAAGGTCTTTTTCCCAGGGCAGGCGAGTCCAAACCTGGAGGAAAGAAGCTCAAGGTGAGAGGAAAAGATTTAAAAGGGATCTGAGGGACAACATTTTCACACGTAGGGTGATGCGTGTATGGAACTTCTTCAGCCAGAGAGTGGTGAATCTATGGAATTCACTGCCACAGAAGGCTGTGGAAGCCAGGTCATTGAGTACATTTAAGACTGTGATAGATAGGTTCTTGATTATCAAGGGGATCAAGAGTTATGGGGAGAAAGCGGGAGAATAAACTTATCAGCCATGATTAAATGGCGAAGCAGACTCAATGGGCCGAATGGCCTAATTTCTGCTCCTCTGTCTTATGATCTTATGGAACGAGTTGCCAGAGGAAATGTTGGAGGCAAGCGTAAAGATGCTGTCACTTTAAAAAGGTTATTTTGTCCTGGGTTTTTTTTTGATGAGAGGTTGTAAAGGCAGAGGATATGAACTGGCTACTGGAGATGGCCTAATAAAACAATTTATGAGGCTTTTAGGTTTTTTCTTAAAAAGTTGGAACAATGGAAGCAGCTTATATGGCAGTGGCTAGTCCTCACAGACCAGGCTTTTTTTTAAGCTTTAGAAGTCAGAAGCTGTTTGGTGTCCCAGAGGAGTTGGAAATCAGTGAATGATTACCAGCTGCTACTTTCTCTGAAATCTCTCTTGATATTTCCTCCTGGATTGGAGAATTGCATGTAAGAA